TTGTTATTTTGTTAGATGTCTAATTTTATCTAACACGACACCCTGCTGATTTATTTCACATCCATTAACATAAATCAAATCAAATTATAAGCCATATGTGAACATTTATTTTTGTCCCATAATAAATTCCAACAGAATGGGTTGCAAATTCCTATACCTCAGAAGGGTGGTGGAGGTCATTTCCAATACTAATTTAGCTAATTTATTATTTGTTTTTCAGTGAAAAGCCAGAGATGAAAAAAGGAAATATGTGACGAAAACTCATACGTAGAAATGAACGTACATTTCCAAAAAAGTTAAGTACATTTCCAGGAAAATTACATAATTATGTGTTTTTAGGATATATAGATGCTATTCAATTAGTATTAGTGCTGCTAATACAGTCCTTCCTCTCTTTTTTTAGTGCATGCAAATAATATTCAACAGGATTCTGACAAATTGATGGAGGGCTGTCATTTGCATGAATCTGGCTGCTGGCCAAAACATTATTTTCATATTATTTGTGTGTGAAGGCTTGCAGCATGTTTTGTAGATGCAGTTAGTGATGGGGAACTCCATGCAGGCACAGTGCAGATTGTTAGCTGGTCAAACGCCTCTGATAAGATTAGTACAGAAAATCTATATCTCAAACACATTTTGTATAAATAAAATATATTATTATATTTTTAAAATAAAAACATTTTTATATATAATGCTGTATATGCAAAATAAGTTAATTTTATGTTTTTAAGTGTTGTTCAAATAATTTGAATGCTAGTAAGACTGATTCCTATATTATAATTAAATGTTTTATTGCTTGCCAAAAACGCTTTTGTTTTTTTACGCAGATGTGGTAGCCTGTTTCTGCCATGGATTAAAAAAAATTAAGATAATTGCAACTTTTTAATGCGATGCTATTCAATTAGTATTAGTGCTGCTAATACAGTCCTTCCTCTCTTTTTTTAGTGCATGCAAATAATATTCAACAGGATTCTGACAAATTGATGGAGGGCTGTCATTTGCATCTGGCTGCTGGCCAAAACATTATTTTCATATTATTTGTGTGTGAAGGCTTGCAGCATGTTTTGTAGATGCAGTTAGTGATGGGGAACTCCATGCAGGCACAGTGCAGATTGTTAGCTGGTCAAACGCCTCTGATAAGATTAGTACAGAAAATCTATATCTCAAACACATTTTGTATAAATAAAATATATTATTATATTTTTAAAATAAAAACATTTATATATATAATGCTGTATATGCAAAATAAGTTAATTTTATGTTTTTAAGTGTTGTTCAAATAATTTGAACGCTAGTAAGACTGATTCCTATAATATAATTAAATGTTTTATTGTTTGCCAAAAACGCTTTTGTTTTTTTACGCAGATGTGGTAGCCTGTTTCTGCCATGGATTAAAAAAATTAAGATAATTGCAACTTTTTAATGCACATTTCTGAATTTTTCTCACAATTCTGAGAGAAAAGTCAGAATTATGAGAAATAAACTAAAAATTCTACTTTTTTCTTTTCTTGCAATTCTGAGTTTACATCTATCAATTCTGTTTTTCTTTTCTGCTATGAAATAAATAACAACAAAAAAAGTATTGTAACTTTTTATCTCACAATTCTGACTCTCGGAATTGTGACTTTACATCTCACAATTCATTCTTTTCTTCTCAAAAGTGTTAGTTTACTCTTCTTCTTACAATTACAAGTTTGTTTCTCTGAATTTGCGAGTCTGAATTGCAAGAAAAGAAGTCTGAATTGTGAAATTAAAAGGTCACAGTTACCTTTTTTTCCACAAATTACAGCATCTCCCAGTAGGGGCTAGCCAGACCTTCACTTAGCATGTATAATGTAGCAAAGTTTTGTCCAGTCAAATGCTCTTTAAGATAAGATCGACCCTCCCTCTAACACTCCTTACCTCTAACTTGCAACAGCAAGTATAGCATTGACTGTGACTCAACTAATGGCTATTGATTATTAGATAACACTGTGCTTGTCAAGACATTTCATAGGGCATTAAAGATCTGTGATGAGCATAACAGGTATAAACACATGTGGATTAGCTGCGAAGGGATATCTGTAAAAACATGTGACTTCTGCACTTGGAATGTTTTTAGGTACGAGTTCACGTACATCTTCACCCTTAACACTGCTTGCAATATGTGCTTTAGGCGGTGTCTGTTGAAACAATGCAGGATTGTTCAGGCATGCACTTGAGAAAGGACATCATATCCTGTAGCCCTCCCATAGCCATGTTTTATTTGGAAGAGAAACAAATACATATGCAATAGCATTATAAAAGGCAAGCTTTACAAACATTGGCTCAATAGCGGTTACTGTCAGATAAATATGAATTTGAGGCATTTGTGTAAAGACTGTAAATCAAAGCCTGATTAAGATTTAAAGGAACCGTTTTTGTTTGAGGAGCTGTCAACTATATATATTAGCACATCAGTGCAATTTAAACAATTAAATTGTAATTTATGTGTTACATTTTTTAAACTTAATCAAAATAAATTGCCACACAATTGTACAATGCACACTTAAAATAGAGGTGAATATGACAATGAGGTTTGAAAAATGTTCAAGCATTTAGTGGCAAAGCATTGGCTGTAAAGTTAGAAGTGATTCCTCTTCAGGAACTAATCGCACGAAGATTAATCTCCTCCAGATAAACCACACAGAAGACCTTCTGGCATAGAAATGATGTGATTTCATCTCCGTTGCTAATGGTGACGCTGGCATATACATAAAGGTCACACCCTTATTCTGAAACTCTGCAAACAAGATGTTAACAATAGCGCTGTGTATATGTTATTTTAGAGCATTGTGCTTCCAGCAAAAACGTAATGCACATTCAGCACATGTCCAGTCAGATGTTTGAGCCAAATGAAGAAACAGTATGTTTTGATAAATTGCACAATTGTAGTATGTTTTAAAAACGTGGTCAGTCCAATCGAGTCATGTCTTCCACAGATCACCTCCTTTAAACTGAAAATTCTGTCATCATCTACCTGCCCACAAGTCGCTGTGAACTTAAATTACTTCTTCGTGTATAACATGAAGGGGAATTTTACATTGCATTTCAAGGAACATGCATACTGATCAATGATTTAAAGTACAAGCAGACATGTTCATATTATGTGTGTTCTTATATAAATATATAACATGCATAGTATGATAGTATAATATATCTATGTATAGCACTGTAATGTTAGTACCCATTGCATATTTCAGTTTTGTTCACATAGACTATATGTTTTTCTTTCTGACCTTGCTGTCTTAACAGAAGTTATTCTGTTCCAGCCTAACAAGTTCAGGCTCATTTGACCCCATTATTTTATCTGCACTTCGATTGCACACACTAAGATAAAATGTTTGTCATATGCAAAGTAAAATCAATCACTGGTTATCCAGGTAATATATTTGACATATAGAATGTTCATAACATTTTTATGGCTTTGTCCAAATACATTCTTGTTCATTGGTATTATGTGTGCATTAATTCTTCAGTAAGATAAAAATGTATAGCTATTGCATTGTTTGCTATTGAATTAGTTGAGAGGGATTCAATTAAAAACATTAAATTAATTAATTACTGATGACTTTAATAATATTTTTTGTATTTTTATAAGTGTCTGAAGATCTGTGTTATTGCAGGTGGAACTTTTCTGTGACCTCTGACTGACTGTATGTTCAGCCAACACATATTCTTAAATTTGTGTGTATTTGAGCTCCAGATCAAGTCTTTGTTATCAGGATCTTGTGTTAAAGACTGACTAGGATTGAGAATTAATAACTTTGCACATACCCTAATACTCATATGGAAATCAATGTTATGGAATCAATCGTGTCATGAATGAAATCTGTCTGTCCTTAAAGGAGTCATATAATGCTATTTAAATTTTTCCTTTCTCTTTGGAGTGTTACAAGCTCTTGGTGCATAAAGAAGATCTGTAAAGTTGCAAAGTATACCCTAATACTCATATGGAAATCAATGTTATGGAATCAATTGTGTCATGAATGAAAAACTTTACAAAAAAAGTAAAGTTGCAAAGACTAAAGTCTCAAATCCAAAGAGATATTCTTTATAAAAGTTAAGAGTCAACCACGCCTAGAGCTGATCCGTGCTGGTCGCTGAGGAAATACATCAACTTCATCAACATCAACTTCCGCCGGCCGCGCCGTTCTCAAGCCCGCCCGCTGCCATTCACTCAAGCTGGCCTCTTCTCACTCTAGCCGCCGGCCTCCGCTCACTCTAGCCCTACTTTGTTTGGTCTTCCAAAAGAGGACACGACTAGAAATCAGTGGTTAAGTTGTATTTACAACACTGAACTTTACAGATCTTCTTTATGCACCAAGAGCTTGTAACACTCCAAAGAGAAAGGAAAAAAATGAAATAGCATCATATGACCCCTTTAATGTTTTTGTGTCGTCGCTCCGGGACAGGGCATCATCACAGTATGTTAAGGGGCGTAACACGCTTGAGGTATTCGGCCAATCACAACGCACTGGATAGCTGGCCAATCAGAGCACACCTCGCTTTTCAGAACGATGAGCTTTGTAAAAATCGACGCGTTTCAGAAAGGCGGGGCATAGAGGAGAAACAATAATGTACAGTATGTGGAAAATAATGTTTTTTGAACCTTAAACCGCATAAACACATTTCATTCCACCAAATACACAAAATAATGTTCTTTTTAGCAGCATCATATGACCCCTTTAACTTCTCAGAAACTCACGCAAGTGAATTGTCTTTTGAAAAGATGGACAAACGCTTGTTTTGAGTAGGACTGTATCATTCTTTTTGTCTTGCTCGCGAACACAAACAGGTTTTGCCTGTGTGCGCGTGTATGCGTCTGTGTGTGTGTTGGCTGAGGTGTGTGTTTTCCTCTTCTTCCTCTGGAGTGGTGTGTGTGTTGGCTGAGGTGTGTGTTTTCCTCTTCTTCCTCTGGAGTGGTGTGTGTGTTGGCTGAGGTGTGTGTTTTCCTCTTCTTCCTCTGGAGTGGTGTGTGTGTTGGCTGAGGTGTGTGTTTTCCTCTTCTTCCTCTGGAGTGAAAGTTACTGCGTCTGTATGTTCGTCATGACGGTCTTGCATCGATGAAGGGGTTTTACACAGAGAATTAAAGGGAAAGCTGCACTTTAGATCGGTAAGTCGACTTTAAATCGATGTGAGGAAACTTTACCAAGTCATTGTAGTTCATAATTGTACTTTTTTTGTTGCTTGGCAGTAGCCTAAGTTTTCTAAACTTGGAGAACTTCACGATTCGCGACGACAAATTACGGAGTCGCGTCGATTCTCACGAGAAAGAAAACATGTCTGTGATTAAGTTATCGATCGATGAGTTGTACTTAAATAAATACAAGAGAAAAATTGGACAAGTTCAGCCCATAAATGGTGGTCTCTCTATTGTTGTGACACACCCCAGAGGTTGTTGAAGCAGATGTGAGATCTTTACTCGATCCATTCAGGTTAATTTTGATTGATAACGTGCAGGATTCGTGCTTTTCGAGTAAGTAATATTTCAAGTAATATTTGGCTGATATTATAATAGAATGTGAAAGTTCAGAGATAATTTAGATTGACGTGTTAACTAAAATTACTTAAATGTGTCATTTAGACTTGAAATGGACTCCGTGATCGTTTTTTTTCTCTTCTGTATTAGTATCCATGTCGTATTTAAACCCTTCAGACACACGGGGACACAATTATGACTAAAATGTCTAGAATCACCATAACTGATAATAAATAGGCCTGCATTCAAAAGAATAAGTTTGTGACCATTTTAGCAGTTATTTCTAAATATATAATAAAAAAGGTGTAAATGAATGAATTGAAATCATAGTATGATATTATGACTTGTCCTGCTTTTATTTGTAGTTTTAGGAATATCACATTCGATTTCGGGGTTTTTTCATTTATTGAGTTAGTGACATCCATTCTTATTGATTTGGATGTCACTGGATGACTATACATAAATAAATAGCATTTAATTACTCAAAAAATGTTCATCATTGAAACAGACATTGGGTTATGTTTAAAAAATCTAAGAAACAAAGACTTCTTACATGTTTACATTTATGTGAGCAGTCTTTTTTTCTTTTTCTTTTTTTTACAAATTTGATATGTATACAGCATATTTTTGTTTGTTTATATCAAAATGTGTGCATTTACAATAATCCAGCCATGTGTTTGATTTATGTTTAATGTAACTATGGAAGAAAAAGAGTGGTTGCCCTCATGTGGAATTAATGTGCATTACCATTTTTCTGGTGTTAATTATTCTCTTAACTCTGTCTGCATTGGTGCAGGTGTAAATATGGCTCATCTTTCCCAGTGCTCCTCTGCCGGGGACAATCCCCTGGACCCCAACTACCTGCCCCCTCATTACCGTGAGGAATACCGATTGGCGATTGATGCCCTGGTTGAAGCTGACTTGGAGGGCTACTGTGGGTTTCTTCAGGAAGCAGATGTGGTTGATTTCTTATCCCGTTCAGAGATTGAGTATATCAGACACATGGTGCAGGCTCCGCATCGCACCGCCCAGCCAGAGAGGAGATACATGGCTGAAGATGTAGATGGCTCTTCTGACACTTACTGGCCGGTACATTCAGACCATGATGCTCCGAGCCTTGACTTAGGCTGGCCACAGCAATACAGATTTGTTGGACCCACTGAGGTCACTACATTGGTGAACCCGTCTGACCCCGAGATGCCCAGTATCAAGGAGCAAGTCCGCAGAATGATCAAGAATGCACAACAAGTGAGTTTTGCATGCTGTTCAAGTGCAGGAATAAGATATTATTAGTGCATGACAGAAGTCAGTAAATACAGACTGTCTTCCCTTATTGCTCAGTGATTTTAACCGCTTTGATACTGTTTTCACAAGTAAGTAGTAAGAGCGTAGTACAGCAAACTGGTCACACTAGTTTCACAGCTGGGCTTTCATTCTAAACTTGACATAATGACAGCTATTATGCACTCATTAGGGTTGTAGTATATAATTAGAACTTTGGTTTAATTGGCAAACACAACTGAATTAACTTCTTTCGATTTAGACATTATAACTTCCAGTTAATTCAACTGCAAACAATACAAGTTTCTTGTTTCAGTTTGCCTAAAGGTGCAAAATGAAAAATGCTGATTTTATGCCAAATTGACACAAGATCTGTAATGTAATATCATAATAGTTGGTGTGATTAATGATGGCATGAGATGGCATACAATTACATAAACTGTTGCCTATTGTAAAAGTATCATGCATATTCTGCAGGCTTGTTTTTTTTTTTCTTTTTTCTCCAAAATGTTCTTTTGTTAGACTGAATTCACAGTTGAGGCAGTTTGAGTTTCAGATTTTTTTTCTTTTCTTTTACTTTGACAGTCTCTTTCATGAACTAGACATGTAAAATAGACTGGGCCATCATTGTTGACAATGTGGTAAACCGAAGTCTAAGTAAACATAAAAGTAGACAGTCTTTCCTGTCCTCCACCACTCTTCATCTGATATTGACCTCTTTGTCATTTACTGTATATATGGTTATCCTGCAATGTTGACACTTCACAAGCACAACCCCCCCCCCCAAAAAAAACCCTTGAAAGAAAACAAAAACTGAAACTTATTCTGATATCATGTCATGTAATGCATAATGTTTTTCTTTGAGTAATATATTTTTTATTTCTTGTTCTAGGTTATTGCTGTGGTGATGGATATGTTTACAGATGTTGACATCTTTGCTGATATCCTTGGTGCAGCGACACGTGGTGTGGCTGTTTATGTTCTTCTTGATGAACTGAATGCTCACCATTTTGTTGGGATGGTGAACAACTGTAGGGTGAATCTGGATGAAATAAAAGTAAGTACTTTTCATAGGTGTTTATCTATATTTAAGTTGAGTAGTCCTTAAGAGAGTTTTTTATAGCTATTTTCTAATGATTTATAGATTTATAGAATTTACTCAAAATCAGCATATATTTTAATGGCTGTAACAATGAGGGTAGTGTAGGCAGGGTCGGATCCAATTACAGCCTTTTATTCAAACAAAGAGCGTAGTCAGACAGGCAAAGGTAATACATCAGCAAACAGTGTCCAGAGGGCAAGGCAAGAGAATAATCCAACACAGGCAATAGATAATAGTGATGTTAGGTTCTTGAACGAATCATTCTTTTGAGCCGGTTCTCAGGAAGTATCCGGTTGAGCCGGTTCACAAATCGAACTTTAGGTCTGGGTTGATGACGCAGGACGCACAGCCGAAGTAGCACGTCCAACTCAAAAAGAACCGAATGAGCCGGTTCAACCAACTGTCGAAGTTTGCCGAGTATTACCGAGGACTCAACAAGAACCGAATGAGCCGTGGCGAAGTTTGCAGAGGATTACCGAAGATTCTGATGAGTGAGTTGACGATACTGTGCAAGCCTTAAGCGCGTACTGGAAATATGTTTGTTTATTATGACTGTTATTAATTTACATTTTATTAAAACCTGCAAAAACCTTTCTGTCGAGTGATGTAAATACATTTTACAGTAGTTTATTGTGCATGCATATTATATTTAAAGTTGCTTAAGCAAAATCAAGGAGTTTATAAGACTGGTTTATTCATTCTTTATACTGTAGACATGTAGAACAAATCCGCATTTGTGCATCAATGTCTGTAATGTGTGCTGTAGGTGCGAAACTTTTAGGAATCTTATCCAAGTTGTAGGCTTGTCAATATTGGTCAGTTAGTCGTATCTGAGGATCCGCGGATGAAACTGTGACCACAAACACCATTAACTTAAGTGAATTATATGGCAATAATCAGCAATATGCTTTCACACAAATAACTTTATTTTTTAATGTTTCAATATGTGTTGACACAAATGACTTATTTGAATTGTTCATTGATACAACATGGCACTGAGTTGTTAGAAAATAAATGCGTATTGCTTGATGACATCAGGAACCGATGAATTGGCTTTTTGAACCAGTTCAATGAGCCGATCTGTCCGAAAAGAACCGGTTCGCAGAAATGAATCGGATTTTGCATCACTAATAGATAAAGGCAAGCGGCAAATTATCAGAGGCGAGATAAACAGGCTAGGGTCAAAACAACAAGGCAAAGAAAAAAACAAGACTAGGAAACAGGATACTAGGAAGCGCTTGATATGGCAGCTAGGCTAATCAATACTGAGCACCTGTATGTGAGTGAGTACAACCTTTATAGTGTCCAGGTTATTGGAAACAGGTGAGGGTGTAAACAGAGGGGATCTTGGGAAATGGAGTCCAGGGTGAAAGTCTGAGTGGCGTGTGTGGCAACCTCTGGTGGTGAGCAGGGAATGGATCGTGACAAATGGCCTTAGCATTATTTTTGAATGAAACAGAAATATCATGAAAATTATATAAATATAATTTCCTATAATAGAAATAATAGGAAAGTACTGTTGCATACTTATTTTGAGTACTTTGTATGAACAATATATGTGAGCATTATTAAGACTTTACTGTTTTTACCATTAGATGGTACACTTTAAAAGACACTTAATATTTGGTTGTTTTAAATTAGCACAAATTAATTTATATACTTTTCACTTGCAGTTCATGCGGGTAAGAACCGTGTCTGGTAGTACCTATTACTGCAGAACAGGAAAGACCTTCAAAGGTCAGATGATGGATCGCTTTATTCTGGTAGACTGCAGAGCTGTTTTAAGTGGTAACTATAGGTAGGTACATTTTTTTCTTTTGACAGTTATTTGCAAACCATAAAAATACCTTATATGTGTTTTTGGTGTAGTCATTTAATATGTGTTGATTAATATATTTTCTCACTTTGTGTTGCAGCTTCATGTGGTCTTTTGAGAAGATACATCGCTGTCTTGCTCATCTATTTCTGGGACAGCTTGTAACCACCTTTGATGAAGAGTTTCGGATTCTCTTTGCCCATTCAGAGCCACTGGTTGTTGAAAATGTTTTGGCAAATATGCCACACTATGGTGGTGAACCTGAAAGCGACTACAACACAGAAAAGGCCCACATGTTTAACAGACAATATCCAACTATGGACATGGAATGGGCTGGACGTACTACAGAAGATCATATGAAATTGGGTTACAAAATGTTACCCTTTAGGAGTGAATCCATCCACAGTGCACCAGAAGCAAATCCCTCAGTTCAGAGGCACATGAACCTGCATGCTGCCCAGCAATATAGAGGGGACCATCAATTTATAGAGCATGGAAGGCAAATGAGTGGACCAAATGAAATGGTTGGCTTCAAAAGACATAGCTACGGAAATATACCTGATTATGAATACATGCCTCCTCAAAACCATCCAACAATGAGAGGAAACCAGTACATAGAGGGAGCAATGCCGCAGGGCGGCCACTTTGCAAGGGAACCACATATTTACCAGGGAGCTGAATTACAATCTGGTTATGACATGTATGGAAGGTTTAGAGGCCAAGGCCAACACATCGATCAGTTTTCAGGGCCTGTCTACCCTCATGAGGGAGATGAGGCTGAGCCACCTGGAGCTTATGACCATATTCAAAGATACCTGCAGTCTCAACCTGCTGTGGAGGAAGGACATGGTCCAAGAAATGTATTACCACATATGCAGTCCAATCTCAAGAGACATAGCATGGGACAGTCTTATACATGTCAGACCTCCCCAACACAACCAAACCCGCCAGAACAGAAACGTTTCCTCAATGTAAACCGCAAACCACAGGATGGGAGTCAAAAGCAAGGCCTGCGGGACTGGAGGATCAGCTCATACCTCAGTGCAAATGATGATGCAGGAGAGCTGGATTTAGCTGAACTTGAAGGATCCACTGCATGTGATGACATTCCATGTTTTACGCAGGAAGCTCCTTGTGGCCCCATACGTGCTGAAATTAGGCCAGGAAATAGAGAGTTTAACAGGATACCTTCACCTAGGGAAAATCCCACGTTTGTCCAAATTCAAAATGATTCTATTGTACCTGACAGTTTAGCTAATCCTCCATCTGATTTGTCACAAATAAATATCAAAACAACACCAGCATCAACTTCAGAGTCTTCTTGCACCACTGAGGGTGACAAAGCGGAGGAGATGCAGAATAGAGAAACTAAAGAGACTAATCAGATAAGTGAAGAGTTCCTCAAAAGGAAACCCAACCGACCTGTCCAGAGGAGTTCCAGACTGAGACACTCGCTGATATTCAGTTCAAATCTGGAGTTGCATACATCAAAAGAGATGAAAGATACTGCTGGAGAAAAAGATGGGGATGAAGCTTCAAAACTTTCAGCTCGTGTGTCACAAATCTTAGATAAAAGGAGGACTGGTTCTCCATTTCAACCATTTCAGTGGAGCAATTTTGTAAAGTCAGCCACATTTGATAACTCCGAGTCTGCACAACCTGAGGATGAACTGAACAAAATGGGTGAAAATTCTGATGTAGATAAGGTTGAAACCTGCCAAAATATTCGAAATAATTCATTAAAGGGTGATCTGCAAGAAAAAGAGCTGCCTCAAACAGTTCCTGAAAAAAATAGCCAAAGGGATGAATGTCCATCTAATTTATTACAAAAGCCATCTTCTTTCATAGATATGAATGACCCTGACTATAGACTGAGGTATTTCAAAGAGTTAGCAGCCAAACGCAAGCTTGCAGCAGCAAAGGCTTCTCAGAGCAATCCGATGAAAGCCACCCAAAAGTTTACTCTACCAGAGAAACCTTTAGCTAATAATGCAGATAAAAAAGGGCCTGTTTTCAAGACCCCAGAAACTCCATGCAAGTCAAAAAATACCCCTGCCACAGTAACAGAGATCAAAGAAACCTGTAAAGACACTAAATGTGAGGAATCGAGTAAAGACATTCTACTTAGAGCCACTGATGCTGAAAAAATTAGATTTAAGAAAAAACTTGCAAAAGAGTCTGGCTCAACTTTAAAAAATTTCAAGGAAGACATTGATCAAGCTCTAAAACCTGTTGAAGTGGCAAGAACAGTATCTACAGCTGAAGACCAGACACCCCCCATTTTAAAAATTTTTTCACAGAAGTCGCTCTGTGCCTTACAAAATCAAGTAGATTCTGTTGCATTAGATACTACCTTAACAGAATCTGGTCTCAACCAATATCATATTCCTAAAGAAACAGATCCCTCCCATGCCTTTCTGACTGAGAGTTGTCTGCCTGTAAAGTTACCACAGACAAAGTGTGTGTCACCACTATGCTCCACTCCAAATGAGGGAAGTCTATCTGCAAAAGACTCACAGAGCCTACCCAATACTTCTAGCACATGTTCTGATACTTTGCCTCTTGATTCTAATTCAGCAGCAAACCTTGCAATTGTAGATACGTGTGTACCATCAAAGAATGACCACAAAGATACAGTTCCCTCCCCAGCATTTTCTACAACTGGAATTAGTTCCACCGAACACCCCACTGCAATAAAGGCAGACTCTTCTCAACACCTCAGTGAAACTGGGGCAGATTTTTCTAGACACTTCACCGCAGTAGGGGCTGAACCATCTACAGCAGAAAATGTGCATTCCCAACACCACCCTGCAACAGAGAAAAACTCTTCTCAACGACATACTTTAATGGAAGCGGACTCTTCCATACCACCCACTACCACAGAAAGTGAACCCTTACAAAAATCTACTTCAACAGAGGCAGACCATTCTCAACACATTGCTGCATCTAAAACAGACTGTTTTCAACAGCCTACTGCAGTGAGGAAAGACTTTTCCCTGCACCCCACTGCTACAGAATGTGGAACTTCACAAAACGTCCCTATTACAACAGAAACTGATTCTTTCCAACAGCCAACTGCAGCAGAAAGTCAATCGTCATATCACTTCACTACAATTAAAGCAGCCTCTTCTCAACAGCCTACTGAGACAGGAGAAGACTCTTCTCAGCCCCCCATTAAAACTAGGACAGACTATTGCCAACAATCCAGTGGAGCAGAAAGCGAATACTCTGCAAAACACACTTCAGTGCAGACAGACCCTACTACAGCAAGAAATAAATCATCCCAACAGTACTCTCCAGTATCCTCAGACTTTTCCAAACATCCCCCTGCAGTGGGGGCAGACACTTCAGAACACCTCACTGCAGCAGAGATGGACTCTTCTCAGCTGTCTGCTGCATCTGTGGAAGACTCTATGCAACACCACGTGGGAAAAGAAAGTAAACATTCCCTAAAACCCACTGCATCAGGTACACAACCCTTCATGCAGCCAAATGCTTCTGTTGAAGCCTCTTCACAACATTCCAGTGCAATGGAGACAGACTCCTCCCAGCAGCCCACTGTGACAGCCACAGACTCTTCTCAACACCCCACTGCAACAGCTACTGATTCTTCTCAGCAACCCATTGCAAAGGAGACAGACTATTCTCAAAAGCCTATCACAATGGAGACAGACACTTCTCAGCAGTCCACTGCATCAATGGTAGACACCATCAAAGACCTAAGTACATCCGAGGCAGACACTCCCCAGTCCCACACTGCAACAAAAAGTGTCCTTTCCACAGAACATTCCAAACAATTACCTTTATTGGGGGCAGGCTCTTCTCAACAGCCCACTGCCACAACCAAAGTTTCTACCCAGCAGCCCACTGCAACAGTCACAGACTCTTCCCAGCAGCCCGCTGCAAAAGAGATAGGCTCTTCCAGGAAGCCGGCTGCAGCAGACAAAGACTCCTCCCAGAAGTCCACTTCAACAGGCATAGACTCTTCAGACACAGACTCTTCTCAGCAGCCCACTGTAACAGTCACAGACTCTTCAGACACAGACTGTTTGCAGCAGCCCACTGCAACAGTCACTGACTCTTCAGACACAGACTCTTCCCAGCAGTCCACTGCAATAGTCACAGACTCTTCAGACACAGATTCTTTCCAGCAGCCTATTATAACAGTCACAGACTCTTTAGGCACAGGCTCGTCCCAGCAACCCACTGCAGCCGAGATAGACTCTTCCAGAGGGCCCACTGCAGCAGACACAGACTCCTCCCAGAAATCCACTTCAGCAGGCACAGACTCTTCCCAGCAGCCCGCTGCAACAGAGACAGACTTTTCCCAAGAGTCCACTGTAAAAGACACAGACTCTTTCCAGCAGCCCATTGCAACAGAGGTAGACTCTTCCCGAGAGCCCACTGCAGCAGACACAGACTCCTCCCAAACATCCACTACAACAAAAACAGATTCTTCCCCTGAGCCCACTGCAGCAGTCACAGACACTTCCCAGAAGTCCACTTCAACAGGCACAGACTCTTCAGACACAGACTCTTCTCAACGGCCCACTGTAACAGTCACAGACTCTTCAGACACAGACAATTCCCATCAGCCCACTGCAATAGACACAGACTCTTTCCAGCAGCCTACTATAACAGTCACATACTCTTTAGGCACAGACTTGTCCCAGCAACCCACTGCAACAGTCACAGACTCTTCAGACACAGACTCTTCCCAGACACACACTGTACCAGCCACAGACTCTTTCCAGCAGCCTACTCTAACAGTCACAGACTCTTCAGGCACAGACTTGTCCCAGCAACCCACTGCAACAGTCACAGACTCTTCAGACACAGACTCTTCCCAGACACACACTGTACCAGCCACAGACTCTTTCCAGCTGTCCATTTCAACAGAGACTGACTTGTCCTCTCAGCTTACTATAACAGAAAGTGAATTTTCCCAAAATCCCACCAAAATGGAGACAGAAACTTCCAAACATCCTATTAAAACAGAAAATGAATCCCTTCAAGACATTACTGCAACAAAGTATGACTGTGTGAATGAGAAAAAAGATGATAACTTACCCGAAGCCTTTAACAAACTAATACCCATTCTAGAGGCTAACATTACTCAAAAAGACAATAGCATATCTCAAAATGCAGTTATCACCGACTTAAGTTCCCCAGCTGAACATTTCCAATCTGATACTGTTACACCTTGCGATAGCCAAGTGGAACTAAACCAAACACAAGCATGTATAACTCATACAGTAAAAGACACAGACAATGGTGCTTTAACTAGTCTTGATTCAATGAAGGTGAGCTCAACACAGCCTCAAGGTTCACCAGAACCTTGCCTGTCCTCGGATGAGATCAACTCAACTCAGGGAATAACACAATTACAATCTAGTTTATCATCAAATCCTATGGAATCTAGCTGTCAAAAAGACTCAAAGCCTGAGAAAACAGATGAGAGCCAGAAATCTGACACCATTACAGAGCAAACTCAGAGTCATGATACTTCAGCTATAGACTCTAACGGGGTTGATAAAATTAAACAAACAACACCAGAGCTAGAAAACACTGTGACTAAAATTGGCGAGGTGTCAGAAAAATCACATTTGACTGTTCACAGTAATTCAGAAAATAAGTCTTCTGTTGCAGAGAATGCAAAATCGATTGTGTCTGCCCATCAGACATCTACTGCAAATGTTATCTCTTGTAGCAACCTTAGAGATGACACTAAAGTTCTTTTAGAGCAAATTTCAGCAAAGAACCAAAGCAGATCTTCCCTGTCCAAGCAGACTCTTGCTGCACCCAATGAAGCCAAAAAGGCTGAGGTTAGCTCTGCAGATAAATTGTTCTCAAGTTATTCAGGAAGGTCCTGGTCCTCGAAGACTACACCAGAAGAGCGGGAGATGTTACTACAAAAGATGCAGCAAATGCGTAAAGAGAAGAAGGTCTACAGCCGTTTTGAAGTATGTTGTAGGATTTTTTTCATACAATTTCGAAATATATGAAAATATTGTGTGTCGCATAGTTTCAATGTCCGAAAGCACAATATCCAAAAGACTGAAGTTCAATGTTTAAATGTAAATTCACATTTCCCTACATTACTCAAGTATTTGTATTTGGTGTTTTCACAGGCCTCATGAATTAACCCAATGGAAGAGGGGCTCCACTGATGAACAATAAGAGGGAAGCGATTTTGCCAGATCTTTTCTTTCTTAAAGTCTTACCTCATAACTGTGAACCTGCACAGACTTGGATTAAAGTGTCTTATAACTTCTGATTATACCAAAGAGTGCTGCCTATATTGAGAGAGTGGAAATCCCTGCAGGGCTTAACAAGCTATGCAGATGATCTGCATGACAAGAATAAGCTTTTGATAGGACAGGTATTTCTTAGTGTGTATATAAATAATAGAGCTGTGAAACACATTTCTAAATCTAGTGTAGTTATTGTGAGTTTTATATCTAGAAATTATGATGTGTTATAAATACTGTAAATAGAGAGTTGTTTACCTAACAAAAACAAGGAGTTAATTAAAAATGGAGCTGCCAGAGACAGAGCATGTGAGCGATGTGGAGTGGGGGAGGAGTTGCATGATATTGCCAGGAGCAAGGAGCAGATTTTCTGAAAGTCTCCAACATCGTTCTGATACTGCTCCAACATGTTAACAGAGTCAGACTATTGTTCATGTTTCAATACAGCATTAAACTTTTCTCAAAGTATTTTTTATTTTTTCATTTAATATTGGTATTTTGTGCCCAGATGTTTTTCATTGATATTAAAAGCCAACACTGAAAGAACTTCATAGTGGATCAGTAACTGGCCACACATTTTTCTATGTAGTGAACTTGAAGCAGTGAGCAGCAGGAAACGGAAAACATGGAACAAAGTGGAGCTGGAGCAAAATGAACACAGGATGCGAAATTGTTCAGTCATATGGTCTGGCGAGAGAATAGAAAAGGACATTCCACTAGATGATTAATTTAAGTGTTTACTAGTCCATCAGTTGATTGTGTAAACCAAAGATAATGCACTGTAAAATACATTCTGTCTGTGTTGATGCACAATGGAAACTCCTAAAGCATGTTTTTGAGCCCACGTAACATATCAACGAGGATAACATGCAGCACGTTTTACTAAAAGGAGTTTCTCAATATACCAAATCGATACAAAAATGTGCAATATTATGAATTTAGGATGAAATATTGATTTATTTAAGTTGTGAAATCAGTTTGTCAACATTTGTTCTCATAAGCTACGTGTAGAGAACCAATAATGTCTGTTACATGTTCCCACCTGTTCCAAAAGTTGTATGTTTGAATCATGTTTAGAGCAAAATGAGTAATACTACACTGATATAAACTAAAATAAAACTAGAACGTAAGACATGTTCTTCAAATATTAATATCTCAAACCTGTGTTATTTGCTTTTGTCGGAACAGTTATGAAACACTGCTCAGTGGGAAGGAATTTATCACACAGACAGAAAAAAATGTGTTTATTAATCTTCTGATGAAAGAATAGTTTACACAATGTCTGTTTTTTGTTAAATCTGTAATCATTCCCCTTTGGTACCATTATGGGTGTTTTATATGGGAACAAATTGATAGTTGACTCAAAAATAAAAATTCTGTTATCATTTACCTTCATGTCATTCCAAACCTATGTGGCTTTCTTCTGTGGAACAGAATAAAAAACAGGTGAAACATGATAAATGATGACAGTAAATGGGGGCTTATAGACCATGTTACAACAGGTCAAATACTGTGTCGTTAGTATCACCTTTGGTGTTTGTTCACCTTTGTTTGAGTGTGTTTATGTGACATCACTGATCTTTAATTAGCTACTCAGGCAGGTTATGAGTCATGCTGCAAAAATGTGAGCCATGCAGTTATGCTTAAATTAAACCAAATTACACAACATATTTTTTTTTAGCCTGTGATATTTAAGAATGTGTTACATAATTGTGCTTTGAATGAAGAAAAAATACTTTGTATGTATGACAACACCAGAAAAACACAAGGCCCTTTGTGAGTATTTGCACTTTTATAACACCATGTCAATTTAGGCTAATCTCTCAATATGAGCTTTATTCTCATAAATCCGAATTAGTTCCCCTGGCATTTCTTAAAGTCTCCTGCAGCTAAGTGGAGAACTCAGATCATGGTGATGAAATTTGTATTTCGGCAACAGACTGTAAGACTGCAGACATGACTGGCATGTTGAAGAAATTTTACCACATAGTTGCTTTCAGCTGGTATATCTTTGTCATTCAGTCTGTTTATGCAAAACGAAATTCAGATATACCACCTGGGATGTTGGTCTATGGCGGACCCTGGAAATACCTCACATTTTTAAACCTGGTAAGGTGCCACCCTTGTGAGGACACTTTTAAAATTGTTCTGATAGACACACTGGAGGTTGCTTGTAAATGTTTCATTTCTCAGTTCTTACAGATAGTGTTTTTTGGACTGGCATCTGTGAATGACCTTCAGCCTGTGGGGAAAGGCTCCAAAATGTCACTTCTCTGCCTTTGCAAGGACTTGCTCTTTTCTGTCTTTGCGTTTCCAGTAGGAATGGTGAGTTTGGATATTACTTATTATATATTTTTTCCTGCTATAATAGAAAACAGGTGCCAAAACTGATGTAGGCTACTACTGTTTCATGCATTTAATATGCTTCACGTGTGAAGAGTGCGTTGTGCCAGTGATCTACACTCTTAAAAATAAAGGTGCTTTGCGATGCCATAGAAGAACCTTTTTGTCTAAATGGTTCCATAAAGAACCTTTAACATCTGAAGAACCTTTCTGTTTCACAAAAGGTTCTTTGTGGCGAAAGAAGGTTCTTCAGATTACAAAAAGGTAAGAAAGAGATGGTTCTTTAAAGAACCTTTGACTGAATGGTTCTTTGTGGAACCAAAAATGGTTCTTCTATGGCATCGCTTAAAGAACCTTTTGAAGCACCTTTATTTTTAGAGATTAAATTAGTATACACTCTCAGAAAAAAATGTCCATGGTTCATGGGGCGGTGCCTTTTCAAAAAGTACACTTTTATATTTACCCCTAAAAGACATATTAGTACCTTAAAGGTACATATTAGCCTAATATCTATCGAGTAACAATTACTACATGAAGTCTACATTTTAGTAGTCTACCTTTAAAAAGTGTACCGCCTCAGTGACAGATTTTGTGAGTGTACAGTTCAGGGGTCTGAACAAGTGTTGCTCAATATTGTTGTCAGGATCATTAGTCCTATTATGCTTTCCGATTTAAAATAGAATAGACCAAACCATAAATGGTAAAATCAAATTTGTATGCTCAAATTAAATTCAATACGAAGTACTGTGGCAGCACTTAAAGGTCTTTAAAAGAATACCATAGTGCTGCCATGGTACTCCAATGGTGATTGTTTGGTACTTTTTTGTTAATAACTACAGCAATAAAAAGAAATTGGATATTACAAGAATCAAAGATAAGTGGATCTAGATCTTCCCTTACTGTTGTTGAATAGAGTCCATCAGAACCCATTAAATGCTGCTTCTAGATAGACATTTAGATTGAACAGAAATGCATAGAAATGTAACCAATGAATGTGCACCATCTACTGGTGGTTAATTGTAATAACTCTTTTTTAATGCATACAAATGCATAAGATTGAATACATATCAGTTCTTCAAGCTTAAATGAGTAGTTATTTTACAGTTGTGTGCATCTTGTTATTATTATTTATGTATTTAAATTGTTTTAAGTTTGTAGTTCTGCTGTTTTGGCTGATTTTTGCCTATGATCGACAACTGGTCTATCCAGCTTCAATGGACAGTCTCTTCCCTCCATGGATTAATCATGCTATGGTTTGTTCCCTATAATGTATGATACATTCTAAAATATGTCAATTAAATAATCTTCCTTCACAATTAAATTGACCTTTTGATCCATAGACTGACAAATACGATGACTTTGTATACTTGACTCATAGCACACTCTTGTTCTCCCGATCGTGTTTGGTGAGATCCTGGTGGAGCCACATATCTATCCTAAAACAAAGAATGGTTTGGCTGCTTTGGGATTTGTTAGTGTTGCCTACTTAGGATGGTGAGTTATGATTATGTGGGTGACTGTGCTAGTTATGCAACTATTTGCCAACAACACTAATACATTTTCTCCCTCTCTTTTAGGGTGGTTTGGGTGTACCTAACGGTGGGAATCTGGGTTTACCCTATACTGGGGCTGTTCAGCAACTCAGGATTGATTGTCTTCTACTTTTTTAACATGCTTGTGCTGGTGCTGCTGTACTTACTGGGACAAACTTTGAACCGTAAAGTTTGGGGTAAGAAAAGAGCAGAATCATGTTTTCGGAGTTTTATTTTCATTATGTATTTTTATCTATTGGAATATTTGTGAGAAATGTTGTAGCAGCTACAGTATATAAATACTTAACCAATACCAATATACAAATTAATATTTCCTTTTACTCTCACAGGGAAAGAACATCCAAAATTTATGAGAACATGATGACACATGATTCCTGTACATGTGTTCTGGTGAACTGGCCTTATGAATATCTGATATGAACCATTTCCAAGTGATTTGAGTGGCGTCAGTGCAGATGTCTGATGTTGCTCATTTGAAATAAGTACACTTGCATTATCATAGCTTTATATATATATATAATTTTTTTTTTTATCTGTGACCACTTCTGCTAATGTAAATTTGAAACTACAATATGTATCTGATGTTATAGACATTTCTGGGAACTTGCACTGATGATGAAGCGAGTGTCCTGTCCAAGTTAAATCAAAAACTGCATATGTGGTAATAAAAAGTAATATATATATATTATAATATTAATATAATAATATATTTATTTCATACTAAATATAGTTCAGATCTATTAACATATATACTGACATACTCAAGACTTACTAATATAAAAATTATAATTAAACTTTATTTGGAGTACTTGTGCACAATGCACATTTCTTAATATTAAGCCTAAAATATGTTTTAATGTCACTGTTGATGAGGATTGTATGATATTTGAATAATATCAATCTTTAAATGGAGGATATTTAAATGTGCCTAAAGTATACTTGCAATAGTTCCACTTTAGCACAATCTAATATACTTCAGTATATCTTTAGTTGGAATTCAGCACTTAATTTCAACAAAATTAAGCTAGTTGTTCCAATTTAGCAGACTTTAAAGGGTTAGTTCACCCAAAAATGAAAATTCGGTCATTAATTACTCACCCTCCTGTTGTTCCAAACCCGTAAGACCTTCGTTCATCTTCGGAACACAATTTAAGATCTTTTTTTATGAAATATGAGGGCTCTCTGACCCGTCACTTGTGGACGCGCGTTCACGACAGTATTTTTTATTTTTTTTGTGTGTTCACGACCGGATCTGGGTCAGCGCCGGCGCCGCCACACGCTCGCGTCATGGTACTGTCGTGAACACGCGTCCAAAGTGACGCAGTAGAGACGAAAATGTGGAATAAAATCGTTATTTTTGTTTTCATTGCACAAAAAAATATTCTCGTAGCTTTGTAACTTTACAGTTGAACCACTGATGTCACATGGACTACTTTGTCGATCATCTTGGTACTTTTCTGGACGTTGAACGTGGTAGTTACCTTGCTGTCTATGGGAGGATCAGAGAGCCCTCAGATTTCATAAAAAATATCTTAATTTGTGTTCCGAAGATGAACGAAGGTCTTACGAGGTTGGAACAACAGGAGGGTGAGTAATTAATGACAGAATTTTCATTTTTGGGTGAACTAACCCTTGCTGCAGTCCGTAACTTTTCTTTGGTTAAAAATGATCCGAAATCAATATTTGAGCAAGTACATAACCAGCCAATGTTCAAAACTATTGCCTTACTTTAGCCCGATTCACAAAGGTCAGTTTATAATAATGTTTTCTAATTTGAGTGGTACGGGTAGGTTTTCGCAGGAAATTCGACCATGCTGCTGCGTCATTACGTCACGTCTGTAAACATAAAGAAGTTGTCCCAGCTACTAGGCTATCGCATGTGAGGATCCTGCAGGTGGCGGATTGTTTATAGCCTTTCTCACAGCAGCTGGAATAATTAAATGTATCATTTTGATGGCGGATTTTAATCCAGAAAGGAATCGGATTATGTGTTTATGAAACACATGTGAATGAAATTAAATTATATTCCAGTTTTAAATGTGCTTCTGATTACAGATAGCCTGGGATTACACAAGATTTGTATTTTAAAGACAACCAGTTCGAAGGGAGCATAATTAGCTTTTTGGGTTAAAAGAATTTCTTAATATGAAATTCGAGTGGTATGACAATTAGAGATTAGACTGTACAGAAATTGAAATCTACACGCTAATACACACTATACTCATAGTCACGCAATGCTGATGTTGTTAACATTAACAATTTGAGAATAAAGTATAACAATAATGATAATTTGCACGGTTTGATGTGATATGAGCTAATTCAGATTAAATCACCATTGATTTATTGTAATGCTTTTTTTCCTCAGTTGGTCAGAACAAACGTGGCAGACTTGTTACTTACTTGTTCAGATGACAATATCCGGTGAAAATGCTTATTTGAGTCATATATTCCAAGTCGTAAGCTAGAATCTGTGAGGGCAAAGTACAATATCCACACCAGTGAGGTGTCTGACTGCCACACATACTCTTCAGAACATTATGGCGCTTTTCCACTGCATGGTACGACTCGGCACGGCTCAGTACGGTACGGCATGGCTCGGTCTGCGTTTCCACTGCAGTTCAGTACCGCTTTAGAGTGGGCGGGATTATTATGTCGTTATAGTTGCGCCGCCTCTATTGCTGCGACTCCTGAAAAACTTTTTTATTCCGCGTCGCCCCATCAAGCT